ACATGGCAGTACTTGTGTGCAGAATGTCCTAATCCCTGGCATTTTCAGTTAAACCTGGAAAGACATCTGTCCAAAATTCTGGAGAACTGCTGCTGCTCAGTGTCAACAAGACTGGGCTACATAGGGATAGAAATCATGTGGCTCCAGGTGTTGTCTGTCTACAGATCCCAACGTTTGGGTTTCTGGCTAGGGCCACTGGGACATGCAGTCCAACCACATCTGGAGAGCTCCATGATTCCCACCCCTGAGCTATATGAATCATTACTGGGACTCATTATATAGCGGCACAATTAATATTAGCTGTGGCATCATTCAAAGAACGCTCTTTCTTTCTTTCCTTACAGACTGGAGCGCTCATTCCACTGTCTCAGCAAGCTTTAATGGATTGTTCCTGGGGCTTTGGAAACCATGCATGTGATGGTGGCATGGAGTGGCATGCTTATGAATGGATTATGAAGCATGGAGGAATTCCCAGCACAGAGTCTTATGGGCCGTACCTGGGGCAGGTGAGTCGGTAGCATACCTGGAATTATGATGATCACCCTGAAATTTGTAGGTGAGATATTTACATTCTTACTTATGCCACATATCCCTATTGTCACACTTTGTCACACGGGAGGAGAGATGGGATTAAAAAGGCATTTTCCCAGCAAAGTACTGAGATCGCGGCAAAGATTTTCAGACGTCACGATCAGAGAGGACTTAACCAGGGAATAACCAGCAACAAATCATTCACAGAGAAAGAATACATAGAATACTGATAGTGGACTTGAGAAAGCTGTCAAATCACCATTCAGTCTTCAGTTTTATGGCTTTGGTGGTTTTATATTCATTTAATGCCCAAGTCATTTTTCTGCCCAAGACAAAAGACAAAAGACAAAATAACCCCTGTTCCCATTTCATATTCAGAAGCTGGCCTATACAAATACTTTAAAAGTAATGAAATAAATGTTAGTTGCAGCCCTACAACTGAAAGTGGGTAAATTGTTCATCACTGTATAAAGTGTCGCATCAGCTCTTCCTTGGGTGTTAGCAGAAATCAGTTTTCTTTAAGCTACTCAGAGCTTATAACTTCACTGAAAATATACAAACCAAGAATATAAGTAGCAGATTTAGAGTGGGGATGGAAAATTCCCCTTAAATTCCCCTTCCCTTTTCTGCTGTGATCACAGTATTTTTATCTCTCCCCAAGACCAGATGTCCTCTGCATTTTAACAACAGAATTGCTCTCCTGGATTATATCACATGCTGCCATTGTTCAGCATCCTGTTTACACCAAGAAATGATCAGACATCTCTGGGAAGTCCATAAAAAACAATACGGAAGTTGTAACAGGGTGACCAGATGTCCTCACCACAAAGGAGGACAAGGTGCCACAAGAAGTAGGATATTCAAGAAAAAATGGAGGAAATTACAACGTATAAAAGCTCAAAACACTCATATAAATGTAAATTCATGCTTCTTAGTCATGCTCAAGATGGAGGACATTTTGGAATTCCTCCTGGACAGAAGGTTTAAGTGTAGGACATGTCCTGGAAAAGGAGGATGTCTGGCCACCCTGCTGTAGACCTACACTAAGGCTGCATCCACACTGCAGAAACAATCCAGTTTGACACCACCTTAACAGCCATGGCTCAATGTTATGGAATTGTGGAAATTGTAATTTTGTGAGGCATTTAGCTTTCTCTGTCAGAGACCTCTGGTGCCACAGCAAACTATAATTCCCAGAATTCCATAGAGTTGAGTGATGACAATTAAAGTGGTGACAAACTGGATTATTTCTGCAGTGCCAGTGCAGACTCGGTCTACCTCTGTGTGGATATTTCAACAAAATATGACTTTGGAGACTAAAATGTCCCATCCTGGTATATGAGGGTTAGCCCGCATTGTTTTGTGAGAGCTAGGGATGTGGCGTGTAAATGAACACACTGAAAAAGATTTGTTGCTGTTGTTGTGTGCCTTCAAGTCATTTTTGACTTATGGCGACCCTAAGGTGCCTATCATACAGTTTTCTTGGTCAGATTTGTTCAGAGGAGGTTTGCCATTGCCTTCCTCTGAGGCTGAAAGAGTGTGACTTGGCCAAAGTCACCCAGTGGGTTTCATGTCTGAGCTGGGAATTGAACCCTGGTCTCCAAGGTTGCAGTCGAACACTCAAACCACTATGCCATCCACACTAAATAAAGTTGCTGACTTTTACCTGCAACTGTCAAGAAGCTTTTGTCAAGTAGCTTTCTTGCATTGAAAGTAGATATGTGGGCTACCTGTCTTCCAGAACGGCTACTGTCACTACAACCAAACTGACCGGATGGCAGCAGTCTCCGGCTTTGCCATTGTGCCCTCTGGAAACACCAAGGCTCTGAAGGCTGCTCTCTACAAGCATGGCCCTGTGGCTGTGAACATTGATGCTTCCCACAAATCCTTTGCATTCTACTCCAGTGGCATCTACTATGAACCAAACTGTGGTATGTCAGATTTCACTGTTTAGTTCAAAACCTCTGTAGTGGGGTGGGAATACAGCATTGGTGTAGTGATGCATTTTGAAACGCAACCCTTTAGCTTGCCGGCACCAAGATTTCAAAATATGCATTTGGCAAGTATTTTCTGACAGTTCCAGTGTATTGAAGATGTAGGTTAGAATTAGGGTATGATGTGCACCTCTTATGCTGTCAGATATTTCTTGAGCCCAAAGAATGAAACAAAAGTCTGATTTTTGCAGCACTACTACTTTGCTGTGTTCACCAAAACTAACAACACAAGACAATGTGTGTTTGCGTGCCAATATGATATACTGATTGACACCAAAAAGTATTGTTGTGTGCTTTCAAGTTGTTTCCAAATCATGAAGAACCTAAGGCGAACCTATCATAAGAGTTTTCTTGGCAAGTTTCTTCAGAGAGGGTTTGCCATTGCCATCCTCTGAGGCTGAGAGAGTGTGATTTGCCCAAGGTCACCTAGTGGGTTTCCATTGGCTGAGCTGGGATCTCCCAGTGTACTAATCCAATGCTCAGACCATTACACCACCCCTCTTTTTTGGTTTTTAAAAAAGCATACATAGCAAATGGCTGAAGGCTGGGGAAACCATTTACAAATGTTCAGATGGCAATGGAACAGAATGCATACATCATTGATTCAGCTCTGTATGGATTCTGCAACAAAATGTGACTCTGGAGCAGAAAAACATCCTACATCGCAATTCATGACATTGGTTCTCTATCATGCCATACTGGGACTTACATTGAACTGACTCCTTTCATATCTTTTCTTCTAGGAAACAGAAGTATGGATTTAGATCATGCAGTCCTAGCAGTAGGATATGGAAATCTTGAAGGGGATAACTACTGGCTTATCAAGAATTCCTGGTCTACATACTGGGGCAACAATGGCTACATCCTCATGTCTATGAAAGAGAACAACTGTGGGGTGGCAACTGCTGCTAGCTACCCAATCCTGGCATAACGGGGAAGGCAGGTAGAGATGCCAAATTATTTCTGGTGTTCAAGATCTCCAATGAAACCTATTTTGTCACAGCATCCCACTAACTTGAATTAGGGAGGAATTCAGGAATATTCATGCCGCAGTGCTTCGCTGCAGCTGCACTGCAGGAATAATCCGGTTTGACATCGCTTTTGACAGCGCTCTGGTGCTGAAGCCAGATACAGTTCCCAAAATTCCATAGCACTGAGCCATGGAAGTTAAAGTGGTGCCAAACTGGATTATTTTTGCAGTGTGGATGCTGCCTGCATCACCAAGGAGGAAGTCTCTGAAATAGGCAACATAAATATGTGATTTAACACCTCAAATCCAGTTAAAGAAAGCTTCTGCCACAACAAATTGTTAAGTCCTTAAGGTGCCACAGTAATCCATGTTGTTTCAATATATTTTACTCATTTAATCCAGATATTTTACTGCATGAAGCAAAAGTCAAGTTGGTGGCCCCGTCCACTCTCATTCTGCCTACAGAAGCCAAGTAGACTAGCACTTGAATGTTGCTTCAACACCGGCTATGCAATAGTATCCTCCATCAAACAGAACAGCAGACATGCAGAACAGGTTGTTTTGTCAAGCTTCAGCTGCCAAGTATTGTTGGATTGTACCTCCCATCATTCATTACCAGCATAACCAGTGGGCAATGGCATTCAAAGCCCAAAGCACAACAACATCTGAGGACTCAGGTTCTAGAACCAGTAGTAAAATCCGAAGTACAGGCTCTTATCAAAACAGCTTCTATAGCAACATCCCCATGGAGATCTGAAAAGTGCCACTGGCTGTGTTTATCAGAAGCAACATTTAACAGTTTTAATCTCCCCCAAGAATAGATCTTCTGTAAAGCTACCTTGGATTGCAATAGGTATAGCTCATAACAGTTCATCTTTGCTAGGAAAATCCATTTCCCCTCCAGCTACTGTGGAGAATGCATGTAAACTCAGAGAGATCAGGGGAGTTCAAGCAAATGCCAAGTTCCTGCTAATCCAAAAGTCCTGAGTCTTCCTTCCTGGGACTGTTGGCTCTACTATAGCACTGTCTAGAACACAGTGGAGAACTGCCAGGAAACTTCTTCCCCCTCGACATCACACATCATTTGCAGCCTGAGAAAACTGCCTGACTTTGCATGGTAGGACTGCTCCGCCAATCAATATTATACCAAACCATATTGCTGTAGCAACTCTGTCTTCCCAAACATTTTATTTTCTTTTTTCCTGAGTAGCGGGAAAAGACAAAAGGAAGCATATTAGAGCACATAAAACTCATATTCTGTGACCAGAATAAATGATACGGTGCAAATGAACATGTGTGGATGTAAAGAAGTTATTTATGGTCTCTGATGCCTCCCAAGTAATGTTATGAATTCTTCATGCCTGATATGTGTGAAGCATGTAAAAGCCAATGTTTGATTCCCAGCTGAAAGTCAGCTTTGCTCTTTCGGCACAATCCACAAATAAATTCTCATGTACATAAAACAAAATGGGGAGTTACCTAAACACAGTAGTACTGCTTTAGTTTTGAAGATGTCTTCTGCAAAGCACAACACAGTTAAAAGACTTGGGTATTTAAATGAAATAGATTATCTTTCCCTGAATCTTAAATCTAAAATAGTGAAATAGACTAGTTGATCTTATGTTTACCAAGGTTACTTTTAGGACTACTGCTCCTAGAACCCTTTAGCCACAGAGAAGACTGCAAATCCTATGAGAACTGCTGTCCAATAAAAGCAGTTTTTCAAGCTAACTTCAGCATCATTTATCCCATTCACTACTTCATCAACAGCAGAGCTGGCACAACTGTGAAACAGAGGTCCAAAACACACTGCAGAAATAAACCAGTTTGAGACCGCTTTACCTGCTCTGACTCAATGACAGGGAATTCTGGGAATTATAGTTTTGTGACCACAAACCAGATGGCTAGATTCGTTCAGGGAAGTCACAGGTTTGAGACTGTAAGACCTGAGCAGAGCAGTGGAAGATAGTTCTTGGAGATGTCTCATCCATGGAGTTGCCATGAGTTAGGGTCAACTCCAGCATTAACAACAACAACAGCTATCCACTTCTGTATTTGGGCATCTCTTGGAGGGGTGTGGAGGGAGGGGTTTGTTTGCTTTTTCTAACCACATAGTCCTTGCTGCTTCCTCATTATTATTTTTTCTTGTTTGCTTGGGTGATGGGAGGTGACACATGTATTTGCATTGCTCTGTGGTGTCATCATCTCCTTATTTATCAAGCACCCACCTGACACACAGGACGTTTTCACATGGGGCTCTGGTGGAGGCAATCCTACCTCCCGCC